CCTTTGGCTTAGGTCATGGTCTCAGGGTCCTGGGATCAAGCCCCGCATCGGGCTCCCTGCTCAAGCGGGGAGCCTGCTTCCCTTCCTCTCTCTTTGCCTGCCTGTCTGCCTACTTGTGATCTCTGTCTTTCAAATAAATAAATAAATAAAATAAAATCTTTAAAAAAAATAAAAGAAATGTGACTCTTTGTTTTTAACCAAGGCTGGAGGGAATTTTTTCTTTAAGATTTTTAAAAAAATTTTTATTTGATAGATACAGCGAGAGAGGGAACATAAGCAGGGGGAATGGGAGAGGGAGAAGCAGGCTTCTACTGAGCAGGGAGCCTGATGCAGGGCTTGATCCCAGTACCCCAGGATCATGACCGGAGCTGAAGGCAGATGCTTAATGACTGAGCCACCCAGGTGCCCCCTGGATGGAACTTTTTTTTTTTTTTTTAAGATTTTATTTATTTATTTGACAGAGAGAGATCACAAGTAGGCAGAGAGGCAGGCGGGGCGATGGGTGGGGGGAGAAGCAGGCTTCCTGCTGAGCAGAGAGCCTGATGCGGGGCTCGATCCCAGGACCCTGAGATCATGACCTGAGCTGAAGGCAGAGGCTTAACCCACTGAGCCACCCAGGCACCCCTGGAGAGAACTTTTTAATTATGCTTTTGTTTGGTCAGGAAAGAGAGTGGGCCCTAGCAGTAGGGTAGACATGAGAAGTTGCTCCTCCAGTGGCAGAGAAGAAAGGGGTGTGGGTTTTGATGTCTGATTCTCAATTTTAAGTAGTTTCCTATTTGCTGTTAGAATCTTCCCCCCATGAAGATCTGCTTGCATGACACCCAGATGTTAATGGAGACAAGAGTAGAGCAGGCTATGTCAGCAGTGGGGGTGATGTGAAATAGAGGGGAGATGATGAGCATCAGGTTGCATTTGGGGTTTAGGATCAGGAGTGACAAGGAATCATTAGGAACTTCTTAGGATCCTCAGGAGTGCTGGGCTGTCCACTGTTATGTGAGATATGGTCTAAAATATGCATTTGCATGTTAGATGACAGAGTAATTGAGAACCATGCAGATGACAGGGATAATAATCTACTGAACAGGGTTAGGAGGTGTAAATGAGAATGTAGGTTTCATAAACAGGGCACCTGGGTGGCTCAGTTGGTTATATGTCTGCCTTCAGCTCTGGTCATGATCCCAGGGTCCTGGGATCAACTCCATGTCGGGCTTCCTGCTCAGCCAGGAGTCTGCTTCTCTCTCTGCCCTTCACCCTGCTCTTGCTTTCAAATAATAAAAATAAATAAAATCCTAAAAAAAAAGAAAGCATTTCATAAACTAAGAAAACATATCATCCTCTAGAAGATAAAACATCTTTCCATGAAGAATATTTTGAAAAGTCAGATTTGAATTCAACACTGATCACAAATATGAGAATAATTATCTGGAAGTCATAAGCTATGGTAGTTTTCTTTCTGTATAAATTCAGTTCAGATTGGTTATAATTTGGATGTTAGAGATGTTAGAGATACAGTTTTAAAAAATGACTCAATATGACCCCAACATGCCATGTTCAAACATGAGGATTTAGGATCCTACAGTAATATCTGGCCCATTTATTAGGAACAGAAAGCAGCTTTGGTCATTTAATATTTGGCTGAGATTGTGGATAGGTATGAGAAAGAAGAAGTGGTTATGTTGCAAATAAATGGTTAAGAGCATGTATTGGATATATGTATAGACACTTGACATGTTTTGTCTTTATTGCTCATTACTGCCCAAAGAAGTAAGTGGTGATGTCCATTCTTTAGATGGGGTGTGACAATTACAGTGATTAAAGGACTTGCTCAAAGTCATAGCACTGACGTGGCAGAGCTGGTATGAAGACTCTCAACCAACTTCAAGGTCTTTGTTCCTTTCATGCCACTGTGCTGCCGTGTGGGTTCTGAAGTAAGTTACTGCTTAGCCCCCAAGCCTTTTGTGCTTTTGGGCTTCTTGTCCCAGTTTCGTACCAAATCTCAATTGTTGTTCTTCTGGAGAACTTTTACAGAAAGCTTCTGACAAGACTTGGAGATGCTGTAGCTGACAAGCATATGAAAAAGGATTAAATAACTTGAGTTCTGGAGTGAACAGTTAAATCCCTGAATTGTTGAAAGTTCCATTCTTGACCTGGGACTAACCATTTTTTGTGAGGTAATTACAGAAATGCTGGCGAACTCTTTCCATTAGTGGTTCTTGCATACAGTATGCACTTCTTATGTTGTGGGGGCTCTTTTTCTTGTTGTTGTTGTTCACAATTCACCTTAGGGGTTTTCTCAAACTTTGCATTCTTATTCTATAGTGGTTTTTAGCTTTCTTTTTTCTTTCCAGACTGGGTGGATGATGCAGTTTCACTTCTAGGTGTTAGGATTCTCTTTCACACTGGTTTGTCATGACCTTAAAGTATTTTAAGCTTCTCCTTTAGTAAATTTTTCTTTTTAAAATGTGGTACTCCTAGTAAGCTAGAGATTTATTTTACCAAATGAGTTTAAAATACCAGCGCCTGGAGAACCCATAGTCAATAAGCATTGTTGGAAGTTGACCACATGTCAAAACCCACTAGGGATCAACCTTTTCATTTTCCTTATTTTGGCAGGTTTTGGGGTCCAGACTTAAAGGCTAGTTATGGTTCTGAATTGCCTTTAGGTTGCAAGAATTACCAATGTGGTATATAATGCCAAAGAAGAAAAAAAAGTCACAATAATCATAATTGTCTTAATTTATAATTGCCATCATAGCTCTCCCCTGTAGGTAACCGATGAGGCCTAATAGTCGTTTTGAGCTGCAACCACCCACAAAAACCACACACATGGCATTTTACTCAAAACTTTACTTAAACCACTACTTTGTGATGCAAAACTGGTGGAATTTTGGGTACTTTCTGTAAAATTGAAATCTTTATGGGGGTTTTCCAACACTCTAGTTGATTGTTAGCAAATTATCAGTATACTGAGCAAGAGCAGAGCAGGGTTTGCTAATAAACACCTACTTCTGTGGTAGGATAGGATGCCAGTCACCTATATCTGAATGTTTTCACTAGGAGGAAGCCACCTTCATTGAGAGAATAGAGTCTCCTGTTGAAAAACGCAGTTAAGTAAGAAGTACTGTATGAGATTGGTAATTGTAAAAGAGAGATTTTAGGAGCTGCTCATCTTTGCCACAGTTTTCAGTCTTGACAGTCTTCACATTCAGTGCTTTCTAATTTGTAGATCCCTTATAAAAGTAGATTTGTAACAAAAAAAAAAGCAAATCAGTTTGCATCTTAGAACAAAGTGGTATTCTCCCTAAGAACTTTCTGTGAAGGGAGAACTGTTGTGGGAAACTGATTTCTCCTGAGATATCACAGCCCCATTCTGGAAGACCGGTAGCAAGTGGGAAGAATGCTCTCTGGATTTGGCTAAGTCAGGAGACCTTGTTTATTCTGGAACTGAGTCCTTAGGCCAACTGCTTTGCCTCTCTAAGTCTCGATTTCTTTTTTTCCTCCCTTTTTTCCTTAAGGTAATCTCTATCCCCAACGTGGGGCTCGAACTCATGACCCAGAGAGCACAGGTCACATGCTCTACTGCCAGAGCCAGCCAAGCACCCCTCTAAGTCTTAATGTCTTATCTTTGAAATTAGTTTCACTCCTGCTGTATGGTTTGGTAGATACAGCATATTGTCTCAAGAGCCTTCTGTAGGAGCCCCTTGTAATATCCTGTCTTATATAAAAGTGACTTTTATGGTCATATAATTTATACCTTCTATCGGGCACCTATTTTGTTCTTTAAAATCTGTAAAAACATTATTTTAGCAAAAACTAGCTCTACTTCTAGAAGTCTGTATTTATGTCCCTTTTGTATTTTTTTGAAGGAGTAAATTTCCATCTATGCAGCCCAGAAGTCAGCCTTAAAATAACTGTCAAAAACTTCTAGGCTATTTCTCATTCATGCATTATCATACTCAGTAGGAGGATAGTAGACCATCCTCAGTAGGAGGATAGAGAAGTCTAGAATTGAATTTTTAACAGGTTAATTCCTTAGTTTACTGTGAAGATCTTGATAATTTCCCACTAGCACATAAGTAAAGCTTCGTTTAGTTTGCTCTACTGCATAGACTGTGTTGGTTAGCTTCCAGAAATAAAGTATGCTTGCTATATAATTTATGTTAGGAAATATTTAAACAGGATGAAAGAGCAGTTTTTACAGGACCCAAATCAAGCAATCCATTTTCAGAAAGTACAACCAAATAAAAAAAATTGGCTGAGTGCAGAACAATGAATAAGAAGCATGAACTTGGAAACAAACCAATTAAGTTGAATCAAATTTTTAAAGAATGAAATAAAAGAAGTTGTATTTTGTATGTGTGTGGGGTGACTAGAGACAGATGTAGTACTAAGAAAAAATTGTACGGGATGAAATAGCACTTAAAGCTTTAGGACCCAGTGAAGAGTAGAAGGGGAAAAGAAGGTTTATCAGTACACAGGTTTATATACAGAAGTATATGTGCTGCCGAAGCGAGCATGAGGTTTATGTACAGAAGAAGCAAAGGGTAGGATATTATAAATGTTAGAAAAGTGGAATGGAATTCCCCAGATCCTTTGATTTAACAAATGGTTTAGTTAAGGAATTTGGTAAAATCTTGAAATTTGGATTGGTGCTACAGCAAACTTTTTAAAATTAAAGCCAGAAAGACTTTCTTGCATATTAGCACTCTATTACCATGTCTTTTACTTAGCCTGATACCAGGCAGCTTTGAAGGTGATGTGGATGTCCACCCTTGAAATAGAAGTGTTTGAAAAAGCAATGTCTGGAGAAAGGTGAAATCACAATTACACATCAAAGACTATAGAGGTTTTAACTTCAGATTTTATGTTTCAATTATACAAGCTTTGTGTTCACACCCAAACTCCAAGAGTAGGATCTGCCACATACAGGGTGGAGTGGCATTCCAATTCCATTTATTTTCTGCTGAAGCTGGCAAATTGAATGAAGATTTCTATCTTAGGTGACAGGATTCAGATGAAACATGACAAACTTGTAAACGCTGCAACCCGGACATGTCCGTGCACAACTCTCCAGTGAGCTTGATGGGAATGGGGAGACAAACCACACATACTGCCACGCTGTGCCGGGCAGCATGAGATCAAAGAGAAACCCGAGGAGGAGCAAGTCCCTGCTGGCTCAGGCGCAGGTGGGGGGCTTCAGCCGAGACTGCACTCGTGTTCACGGGTTCAAGTCTGTGTCTATCTTGGGCCTACCTTATTACGGAAACATTTTGTGGAGATACACTGCTTGACTGGAAAATTATTCTTTTTTTTTTAGTTATCAAATTTATAATGTAGACGCATTGGTTATGAAACTAGTCATTTAACTGGAACTCAATCCTGACCTAGTTCCCAACATTGGGTGGTAATTATGCGTATTTACCAAAGCACAGAGAGAATTAGTGTTAAAAGAGCAAATGGGCGGGCAGGAGGGCATTGCTTTGAGGAGGGAACAAGTTTTACTACCTTTGGATAGACGAGTTAGCTCTGTGAAATATTTCTGACTGTCTTGCGGAAGGCCTCCCACCACTGGACACGAAGGAAAACAACCGGCACTGTTTTTATTTGCAGACAGCAAGTCAGAGCCCCCCAGTCCTGGGAAAGCCCAGGCGGCCAGAGCCTCAGCAGAGTCCACCCTGACTTTCCCTCGGCAGGCCCTGGTGCTCACTGCTCGGGACAGTGTGCTGGGCAGCCACTCGTCTAGAAGAACGAATGAATGAACATCGTATTAAACAAACACTCCCTGACATTTGTTGAAGTAGATCTCAGCGTTCTTGCTAATCAGGTAAGCATTTTCTGAATGAATCTGGTAACCAACCCAGGTGCACTTTAAATTGGCCCCAAAGAAAATAAGTCATTGGAACAGCTGTTAAGACACAAAGAAATGCCGAACTGAAAGCCACCAGTCCGCCACTGTATATTGTTCTGCATCATTAAATATTTATTTTCATATATGCATTTACAAACTTTACTCACTTCAGAACTCTGCTTTCAGTACATTTTAAACTTTTTTTTTTTTTTTGGCAGAGAGATTCTCTTGTAAAATGAGATCCATGTACAAAACTAGGCAACAGATATAAAAGTTTCCTTTCATACTTTTCATCCATCAAGGAAAGAAATCGTGTGACAAGGAAATAAAACCAAAACGTGGCTCTTTCACAAGAATAACATGTCAGTGTTCAACTATGAGTTCTAATGGGATAGCTCATATTTCATCTTTATATGGATGTATATAGTTTAAATACTTAGCTACTGTAGCATGTTGGTTCAGATGAAGAAAAAAAATCAACTCTACTGTTTGGACTAGATAATCTAGACACCATCAATTATTCATTTCTTTATCCTGTGACACCAGAATTCACCTTGGAGAGGACACTGATTGGCCAGCAGTATGCATTTATTCCAAATGTTGCATAAAAATTTACCTTTCAAAAATTCATTAACTTCATAAGCTAAAGTCTGAGTTTCTAATTTAGCTCTCTTACTTAAAGTTTAAATGATCAGTTCAGAAGCTTAAAATTATCTTTGAAACTAAAGTTGCTTTTCTTAAGATGAATGCTGACTTGGAGCACTGTCACTATCAGAGGCACTAATGCCACTAGCAATGAGAACAGTATCACCACAGATAAGTATATGGTACGAAATGCCCAGGGGCTGGAAACGCACTAGTCCTAGGATTGTGGCAGCAGCATCGTTTGATATTTAACCATGTATTACACAGTATTCACACACCGGCTTCAAAGACGCGCGCTCCCTTCGGACACTCAGGAGTTACAAATTCATTGTGATTGCATAATTCGTATTGCACAGTTTTATAAAAAACATAAATACTGGCTATTCTAGTTTTAAATACAAAATACAGGTTGTATACTTTTAAATCTATAATCTGGTTCAAGTGCAAATCAGGTGCTTTCTTTAGTCCTTCCAAAAAAGGCATTTTTAATATTTTTGGCACAAATGAAATTTCATCATGCCAACAATTCTAATTACAATACGTATATCCAAACCTTTAGAGTAGCAATCATATACATACAGTATAAAACTGATTATTTACAAATGTACTAGGGATTAATGTCATCTTTGTGGGTGAATCAGAACTAAGTAGCCATACCCACACTAATAATAATTATAAAAGTTACAGGAGTTTCCTTTATTTTATTTGCTTATGCTGGTTGCTGTGGGTTGACATTCATATGAGGAGGATGTCCTAGAAGACCAATTCTTTGTTTCTGCTTCCTTTGTTCTGTCATCTGGAAAGTTAAAAAGTTTCATCATTAGACCCAGACACTTCCTGTACGTCAGATCGTATACTGAACCATAGATTTACCTCTGTGGTTATGGTTTATACTGAAACCCACTTTCTACAAATAGTGTACCGTCACTAAATCAAACACTCAGAACTTCAAAAGGGACATCTTCCTAGGCAGAATGGGGAATTCGGTGACCTAGTCATGCAATGTGGCATTCAGAAGTATTGCTTACTATTTGTTTCATAAAGAAACAAAAAATGATAAAAGCACAGGATTCTTGATTGTTTCCCAAATCCATTTCCAAATGATTTAAAGGCTCATTGGAAATGGTGGCTTTGTGTGGTGGGAACAGCATACCAAACTATCAAGAGAAGCAGTGTGTTTAGAATCCTAGGTTTGAGAGGGACTATGTCCATGGTCTTCAGGGGGTCTTGATTCCATTTCTCAGTGATTCCAGAGTAATTTTGAGAGGTTTGAGAGGAAAAAAAAAAAGGATGTAGCATCTTGAGGAAAATGAGGAATGTCCTCACATGCCAGTGAGATCCAGGGTGACTAAATGTTATAAACAATGCTCTAGGCACTTAGTGGGGTCTGTTCTTTGCCATCCACAGACACAGGACTGATTAAGGTCCGGAAAGACCATTTCCCAAAAGTGGTCAAATGAAAAAGTGCTTGCAAAACCCCAAATAAGAGGTTGTTACTATTCATTTGGCTGCTGAACCAAATCACCTTTCATATTGATGGGTAGCTAGCTCTGTTCTAGATATTTTAGGGTACATTTAGTGTTCCACATTATTATTTTTCTTAACCAGTTGTTCCTAGCTCTGGATTTGATGCTGGGCATTTAAGCCAATTAAGATAAGAAGGCTATAATGAAATATACGTTAGATAAAATTGCTGTCTACAAGTGGTGTTAGGTCCTGCACGTAGATTTTTGGTTTCCTAAAATCAGACAAGAATTAGTGTATCCTGGTAAAAAAAACGTGGACCTTGGAATCAGACCCATTTCCTTATGGTTCTGTGTTATTTAGCTTCTCAGATTCTGTTTCCTCACTCACACAATTAGGATGATAATTCCTATCTCATAGGTGGAGAATTGAATAGATATATGTAAACTTTTTGGGAGAGTGTCACATAGTGGTTGCTTAAGTCTCACTTTTCCCTTGGATTAATTTTTGGTACAAAATATCCTGAGAGAACATAAAACAAGAATAGCTTACCTAGGTTCAGTTTTAAAGTTGTTACTTGCTCAAAACATGGCAGTTTTCTTTTAAATCAACATACTATTTTTAGGCTCCTGTAAAATGCCTTCTGTTATAATTTAGAAGAGAATTTACAAGGAGTATTTCCAAAAGGTAGCTTTTTATAAAGAATTAGGATATTCCAGCTAGCCTCTGAAGTTTCCTTAGATGAATGACAGTCTTTTAATTGTTACACACTACACTATACTTAACAGATTCAGCTGAGAAAAGAGAACCTAATTTGACATGTGGGATAAATGAACAATTAGATTAAAATATAATCTGTATTCATTAATCTTATTACCTAATACTTTGGATACTTCACTTAGATCCTCCTCCCTTCCCCAACTGACAGACACACAGATGGACACACACACTCACACACAAACACACTCTCTCTTCCCTTGGCAGCTAACCCTGAGAGGGAATCTAACAAAACTTCACAAAGTTTAACAATCTCAAGCATTCTAATGGATTTAGGAATCCTGGGGGGCTCAACCACTATTGAAGGCTACTTTATTTAGGCACTTTCATTTAAAGTAACTGAGGTCTTTCAACTGTCAAAGTTGGCTATTAAACCCTTTGCTGTAATTTTTCTATAAATACTTCCATTTGAGATGACCTTTTATGTTTGCATATGTTCATGCCTGTTGGTTCAGTCCGCTTTTAACTTTCAATCTGTTGGCTATTCAGTCATTCTCTTAAACAGAAAAGCCTCTACACTGTATTTCCTATAACAAACGAGTCTTTAGCTGATGGCACACCTCCCTTCCCACTTCTGCAGCCATCACCTGACAACTCATTGCTGCTCCTATTTTAACTTTCTAGGTTTGCCTTTGTAAGATAATGATCACATCACTGGCCCTCCCTCCTAAACCTTCAAACTCCCTACTGATGTAGGTTAGTGGCCAAATTCTTTGCTCAGGCAATCTTATTCCTGGTGATTTCAAGTACCCAGTATATACCTAATTTTGTTTTCTCTTTCCATAGAATAGTAGTTCTTCAACTTTGGCATAAGCCAGAATCCCACAGAAGGTATGTTAAAACAGATCAAAGGGCCCACAAACAGAGTTTCTGATTCAGTAGGCCTGGGGTAGGGCCCATGAATTTGCATTTCTAACAAGTAACAAGTAAGGTTTATGTTGTTGATCTGGGACCACACTGCTGTTCTAGAAGAACTTTCCACGGATTCTCTCTGAAATGGTTCAAAGATCACATCAGGTGATCTTGGACACAAAGTAATTTGGGTACGTACATCATTTTTCTCTAATAATATTAAGATCTTGGAGAAGATTCTCTATAGCTGAGCACAGCAGAGGCACACACATTTGTCTGAATTCTGTTTTCACGAACCCTGGCCTTTTAGACAGAATAGCTGTCATGTAAGTGACTAATAAATGAGAGGGAATAGGGCAACTGCTAAAGGATGGAGCCCTTTTGACAGTGGTCATCATCTAATTATCATTATAAGGGAACAAAAATAAAAGCCCTAAGGCTTAAATCTGGCCTGTAAAAAACCAAGGTCAACACTGCTGGCTAGTTAGGTTTCACTGGCCCTCTAGTGCACAGCCTCACATAACTTCTGGCTTTATGGGCTCAATTCTACCTACTTACCTATTTACATAATTCACACACAAACTGTATAAAATGTGTGTGTGTGTGTGTGTGTGTGTGTGTGTGTATAAGTTTAAAGTGTATTAACTGTTGCTGTTACCTTTATCAAAGTACATAGAAATAATGACTAAAGTGAATTTTCATATTCTCATGCAGTATTCGCTCTGGACATTTGAAACAAAACGACTCAAAGAGATCCATCAGATTCTGATCTAAGGTAACTATATTCAAAATATGAATACTGAAAAATCTATTTTGAATAGTGTGAAATGTCTCATTCATAGGAGATTCATTTAAAATCCTCATAATTCCCATTTAGCTAAAGGATAAACATTTAAAGCAGTACTCTTCTTCCTATGCATATGAATATAAAAACTAGCTTGAATGTTAGCATTCCTTCTTTTGACTCAGTCTAAACAAGAAGCAAAGAATATTGTAGCTTTACAAATCAGAGGCAGCCAAACGTCGGAAAGATCTTTCATGAAAACACTAAGGGTAGAGAGCAAATGAGCACATTTCACCTCCCAGAACTGGCCTCGATGACAGAAGGCTGGCAAAGGAAGGACCGCTCAGTAGCAGCACACGGATGCCACAATCTGGTTTCTAACGGGTCAACAGTCCGAAAAACTGCTTTCCTGTCACAGCAAGGTCTTGGTTACTCAGATTCTAAACAGCCAGGGAACTCTAAAATCAGTCATGTTTCTAACAAGGAGCCTGAAATACTAAGAAAAAATCCCAGCACAACTCTCAGACACACTTAATGTTGATTTAATGTCAACATACGGATACTTGTTCACGCACTGAGTTGATCCCTAATACTCTGTCCCTCTCTGTAGCTCTGGCAGTGCACCTCTGAGGCTTCTGTGGCTTGACTCTCTCCCAGAGATCAGGCTGACTAAACTGCTTTCCTCCTTTTCCAGTCTGTTCATGCCTCCATTACATACTTACGGGGCTGAATTCTCAGCAGTTTACTGATTCGTTTCCCATTCTAGATTGTTGGGTATAGAAGGAGAACAGGTTCTGTTCATCTTTGTAACCCAGTACCGAGGGCTGCACCTTGCACATCTATTTCACAAGTGGTGGTTCAAAGAATGAACTGAATTAACCAGAACATAGTGCCATTCCTGGAGCATGCCATGCGTTTTCATGCCTTTGCTCATGCTGATTCCTTTCCTGGGATGCCCCCCCTGCTGCATTCCTCTGCCAGCTCAGAAGTCACCTACTTGTACAGGCTCTACTCCTTCTTCACTCCCAGCCACACGCAGGACCCAGTGCCGCCTCTGTGCTCCCATCAAGCTGTCTTCCTATCTCGAGTGGGTTGTACAATTTTCCACACTGTATCATACTGTCAGAGGTCTGTATGCCTGTCTTTCTTGCTAGATTATGGGACCCTAGAGGGCAGTGGTTATCTTAGTCCCCGTTTGAGGTTCCAGAACAGGGTAGGGGACAGAGGCACTCAGTAAGGTTTAACATTCAATTTTCTAACTGTAAGGCAATTATTCTAATCCTTTGTTATTCCTCCCTCTCTTAAGCAGTTAATGTTCACAAGATAACCATCTTGCATGAAAAGTGCCAAACACTGGAACATGCTAATGTGATCTGGATTTTCAAACACTTTTGTATTCCTAACAGCATGTAAGGGTTACTGTCTCATAGGAAGCCAGTCACATTTTCAGTAAAGTGAAGCCTCTTCGATATTTGCTCTTTTGCGTTATGAAGAAAACATGCAAAAAAAAAAAAAAAATGTAGGTTCTTACATCAGTTCTCCTCCTTGGAATAAGAATGTAAGAGAATCACATTTAGTATTCAGAATCTCTTGGGAGGGGAAACTTCAAGATGAGATTCATCATTAACACTTAGAATAGCAATTCTAATCAACTGTTCTTGGCAATAGTAGGAAAAGTGACACCACCAACCAGGTTTTTAACTTCTAACCTTGACAAGAACTTTTTCTCCTCAAATTGGTATTTTAAGAAAACCACTACCAAAGAGGTCAATAGCAGTACAAATTAAAACCAAAAGACATTCACATTTATAAACTATTATTGCTCTATTCTGCTTTTTTGGACAGAAGATTGAAAAAATAGCTCAGTGATGAAGCAATTTATGTGTTTCCCAGCACTTTTACCAGTGAATAGTATTCTTTCATAGCAGTTTTAAAAAATATCTATCACAGAGTTTCTTGCTCATTAATCATTTGTAGGCTTTTATTTTTTAATTCAAAAAGTTTTTTTTCTTCAGAGGGCAGGAATTCTTACAATTGCCATTTAAGAACCAGCAACTCTCTACCCATATCTGCATGATTTCTTATGCAGAACAATTCAAGAAATTTTTATGATTGCTATTACACCAAATTTAGTAAAACTGAAAAATTTTTAGTAAGTTGATTCTTAAACAAATGGCCTTAAACGTTTGTTAAAGGTTACATAATCAGAAAAAAGGCTAATTCCTTTTGAAAGAAACACATTTCCCCCAATAAAAGCAGCTGTGCTGAGTTTTTCCTGGGCACCTTAAAACCTAAGCAGATCAGTCCTGGTAAAGTCACTTGAGATTATATTACTGGTTTCCTGGTACTTCTTTTTAGCTTATAGTGTCTTCCAAGATAAAATGCTTCATATTCATTCACAGGGGAAGGGCTTTTGGTCCAACTACCAACGTTAAGACAAAAAATGTAGAAAGGGCCCAAACCAAGCAGTTTAAACCATACTGGCTTTAATATCACTTAATGAACCCTAGTCCCTACGCAATGAATATTTACATATTTTGTTTAAGCTAAAATTGAGGCTTAACGGGAACAGGTCTACCTTGGATTTTAACAATGCCAAGTTTCTACTACACACAGCTGTGTAACATGGCCGTGAAGGTATCCTCCACAGCGCTCAAGTGTGGGAGGCAACCTCGGAAACTTTAAGGCTCTTTAAAAAAAAAATGAGTAAGAATTTAAACAGCCAATCTGAAAGGCAAACCAAGGTACAGCGACAAAACAAACGAAAACAAAAATACGTACGACAAACAAAAATCAAACCCACACAGGAGGATCAGGCACTGTCCTACAGAGTTGGAGAAGCTTCCCAGGAGCCTTTCGTGCACCTCAGTGCTCTCATCAGTACAAAGAGGGAATGAAGAGGGAGGACCTCTGTGGTCTCAGATGCCCTCCTTCACCTCGGATGCCTTCTGCAAATTCCTCAACTCACCTCACTCCTGTGACCATTTTAACGAGAGCTCAACAGTTCCTTTAGTGAAGTCTGTCTTAGATCAGTTTCTGGAAGGTTTTTTAAAACCTCCGATTTAACTAAGATTCTTGTGGGTTGTTCACATTAGGTGGCCACAAAGCTCAAGCGCTAGAGACAGCCTTCATAAATAAGCCTTTCTGTTATCATTAGTCTTTTTTGTTTGCATCTTAATAAAAGTCAAAGAAAAGAACTTTGAGACCAAATGGTGGGGGTATGGCTTGGAATAATTCAGTTGGGAAAGATAATTCAAAGTAGGATTGTTAAAATTGCTCTGAAGACCACTGCCCAGAAGAGTTTATTCTGCATGGGGTGTTCACTAGCTGTGTACCTATGAGTAAAAAATCACCTGTAGATCTGCCTTGCCACTTACCTCCAGGGCAGCCTTGCCTGACAAATTTGCCATGCACAATTTATAATCTTGTCTATGGAGCTGATTAAAACACTCAGAAACCCATCCAGGATGCTGACCTATTCCCACGTCTGTGCTGATTATCCCGTCAGCTTTGGTACAGCAGTTGCTCACTGCCCCCCATCCCCCCCACAGCATCCTGTCACTGCAATAACTACCCAGTGACTGTTCATTGTAAGGGGATCAAAAGGAAGAAAAAAAGTACACAGAGTTTGGTACAAATCTACCCCCTCCTTAACTTCCTTTAAGTGGCAAGTGTTTACCTTAGGGATAGAGAGCAGGATGGAGCAGTACTTGGGCAGACAATTAAGCTCTGTGGGAGCAGGGTTAGGTCTAGATTGTGGGTTCATCCCCAGCAGCTGGCATAATGCCTGGACTACGATGGCCACTCAGTACAGATTTGGCCAATGAATGAACCAAAAGGAGTTTTCGCACAAGTATGGCTTATCCTGGGATGCGGAATTTAAGTATCTTGAGTGAAGAGTTGATAGATTTGAGGGCCAGAAAGCAAAACCAGAAACAGCTTTTAATCTGTAAGTAAAGTAAACAGAGTGTAGCTTTACAGGTCCTGTTTTCTGTATAGCGCTTTACTGAAGACATTTGCATTCTCCCATTTTCTGGTTTTGCTATAATACTAGCAGCACTGAAAGTAGTGTTATGGGCTTATCCTATAAAAGGGCAGTGAAAGGGACTGGAGGGGAAATGGGGAGACTAGGTGACTTTGTTCTCTGTGCCCTGGGTTCCTTTTCTACATCCACGTGAGGGAAACGTCCGCATCTTAACATGAGCACTAGTGATTTTGCCTCAGCAAGTCTGGTGTGTCTGGTAGTGGTGTGTGTGTGGTTAGGTGGCAGATGGGGTATCTTTTCTTTACCTGATCCTTTAATTCTGACAGCTGGCCGGAAAGGTTAGTGACCAGCTTCATGGTGGACTCCAGCTTCTCCTGCAGGTTCCTCAGCTCATTCTGCTCTCCTTCAGAGTCACTGCTGACCAAGGACATGGCTCTCATCCTGGGGAACCAGTCAAGGTTTCTTTCCTAGAATCCACATTAAAAAAAAGAAAAAAAGTCATTTCTTGAAATAGAGACAAGAAAGGCAATCCCACCATGCTATCTTTTCTTTGTGACATCTTTCATAAGGCTATCTCTGGGGTTACTGAATTGATGTGCCATGCCTTTTAAAAAACCATTTAGTGAATATCTTTTTTTTTTTTTAAGTGAATGTCTTTTTAAATTGAGTATCTTTTTTTTAAAGATTTTATTTGTCAGAGAGAGAGAGCACACATGCTGGAGGAGTGGCAGGCAGAGGGAGAAGCAGGCTCCCCACCGAGCAAGGAGCCTGATGTGGGACTCGATCCCGGAACCCTAGGATGACCTGAGCGGAAGGCAGACGCTTAACCAGCTGAGCCACGTAGGTGCCCCTTAATTGAGTATTACTGAATTCTCTCAATTCTTAGAAATCACTTTTGACCTAAATATGGTGCCTGGTGAGGGATTGGGGGAGTGCACATCTGGGTGGCTCTGGCAGTTAAGATTCTGGCTCTTGTTTTCCACTTAGGTCATGATCCTTGGGTCATAAGACTGAGTCCCGTGTTAGGCTCTGTGCTCAGCGAAGAGCCTACTTGAGATTTCCCCCCCACCCCCAACTCAGGTGCTTTCTCTCTCAAAAATAAATACATAAAATCTTAAAAAAAACAAACAAAAAACTAAATACAGGGAAAAAGGTAGGTTTCTGAACAACTTCCCTAATCTATAAATAGGAATGCAGCCACTGCATTACATGGCTAATGAGTGGTGGGTGGTAAAATATATAGAACATAAAATTTTCCATTGAAGTCGCTTTTAGCTGTACATTTCGGCGGCACGAAGTGCAGTCACACTGTTGTGTAACCATCGCCACCCTCTACTCCTCGGGAACTTTGTTCATCTTCCCCATCTGAAACTCCATCCCCATTCAACACTAACTCTCTCACCCCTGCCAACCACCATTCTATTTGCTGTCTCTATGAATCCAACTGCTCTAGATACCTCTTACTGTGCTGTGTATTTTTAAAAAGTATTATACTTGGAAAATCATTTGCAACCCTCTGGAAGTGAAATGAATTTTGAGATCCCAAGTGTTCAGGAATTTACCGGATATGCGTATGTGTGCTTTCACTTGGTAGGGGATGATCAGGAGGCTGAAAATGGGGAATGGGCTTCTTGTTCAGTTTCCCTCATTGTCGGCTTTTGGAAATACTGCTCTATTCTTATTTCCTTTTCCTTCCAGTTTGACATCGTTGATAGGTGCCATCGGTTGGTATAAGAAAGGCCCATTCAGTCTCCATCCTTTCTTTTGATATCTACAGCTTATACCTGAAAATAGTTTTTCTCACCACTGGTTAACCAATGGGCCAAGACTCCTCTTCCTATCTTTCTTTCTTGTGCCCACAAATGCCTTTTTCCTAAAAAGTATGCATCGTGTGTAAGTTCTGTACAAGGAGGCAGGAATGAACAGTAAAAGCTAATCAGCACAAGATAAGGGGGAAAGTGGACTTAAGTCCACACCTGTCTGGTGTCATTTCTGACTGGGACCATTTTGATCTCCTCAAAATCAACCATAATTGACATTCTAACACAAATCTTGCCCATCCCCTTACCCCCTGCCAGTATGCCAGTTCACTCCACCCACACTATATTGCTACTTTGTATACACCAGAGGTCAACAAAATTTTTCTGTACAGTAAATATTTTCTGATAGTAAATATCTTTGGCTTTGTGGACCATATGGTCTGTCACAATGACTCTGCTACTATAACCTGAAAACAGCCACAGGCAATACATGAATGAGTGTAGCTGTGTTCCAATAAAACTTTATTTACAAATGCTGGTGGCAGCAGGCTGGGTTTGGCCCATAGGCTAGAGTTTTGCCAACCTCTGTCATACAACAGAAGGTATCAACATACTTAGAGTCAGATACAGAATCCCACAAGACATGTCTAAATGTTAAAAAGCAACCAAGACAGACTAGCAATATTGAAGCCAAATGAGAACTAGTTGAAATTGAAAAATATGGGGGTGCCTGGGTGGCTCAGTCATTAAGCATTTGCCGTTGGCTCAGGTCAAGATCCCAGAGTCCCGGGATCGAGCCCTGCTTCAGGCTCGCTACTCAGTGGGAAGCCTTCTCCCTCTCACGGTCCCCCTGTTTATGTTCCCTCTCTGGCTCTGTCAAATAAATAAAATCTTAAAAAAAAAATATTACACAAAGAAGGCAGACCACACTGGCAACGCGACATCACACCGACTTTAGAGTGTTGGCTTAAAATATCTGGGGAATCTGTAAGTAGGAACTCACTAGCCCTTCAGCATCATGAGTGCAGAAACCACCTTAGTGTAGTAACCAGAACACGGCAGACACTTGCTAAGTATTTGTGGAAGGGAGGAATGATAAACCATCTCTATTTCCTGCATGAGCCCTCAGAGAAAATGATTAAATGGTGAACCTCAGTTGCTTAGAATAACTGCCAGAGGAGAAAATGATGATCTCTACCTTCCTGTCCCCAATCCCCTGTGATCAGCACTTCACATGTGTTAGCCCATATTCATTTTGACCAATTTCCCACCACAGTGCAATGGGCAAAAACACCATTCAATAAAGTATCCCATTTCAAAGATGACCAACCTAAAAATCTAAGGTGTTTCCCTATCTGTCGTCCGTTTTCTGCTGAGTGTCTACAGCAAAGCAGAGGAGGAGGACAGACATTTGAAAACACTTAGCTTGGTGTTGCCACTGAAAGGCCGCTAAGGTAGCCTGCCACTGATTCTATTCACTGCACTTGAGTCAGTCCTTCAGGTACAGTCACAGCTTCCCACCGAAGAAACATCCCTTGTTCAGTGTCTGTCCCAGTCTGAGGGAGGAAAGAACCGAACTGTTCAGAAGAGGGCACCTGCAGGGGACGGGTGGCTGGGGGTTACTTACTCGCACTGGGGCGAAGCCCGCGTTGGGCCGAGAGAGGGTGTGGGCCCGGCTGATGAGACTGTGAGCCGTGCATCTGCAAAGCACGAATGCCCTAGGAGCACAGAGCACGAGACCGGCCGGCCGCGAGAGACCTCACCTGTCCGCAGGCACTGCTCTCAATTTTTGCAGACTGACAGCGCCCCCACCCCCACCGCCGGGAGAACAACTTGAATAAATAAGATCCAGCATCCTATTTACCCTGTACAGCTCAGAAGAGCAGAGACACACACCATCCATTGGGACATGACAGAAGGTCATGCCAAGAAGGAGTTCAGAGATCATCCTCACAGCTTTAACTATGGTGCAGAAAACTGAGCTCTGAAAGGGAAAGTCACTTGTCCTGGGGCGGGGGGGAACCTAACAAATTCTCTTGTTTCACAGGGGGGCCCCCCAAAACATGTGGTGCTGATGAATTATAAACTGCTATTATTGAGTCTGTTTTGGGGTGAAATATTTGCTAGTTCTCTGGATTCAAATCAAAAGTATAAGCATTATTTTAGTTCCCTGTAAGGAAATATTTTTAAAAACATAACATATATTCAACATCTGCTTCAGGGGCACTCCTTGTGTGCATGGTGCTGAGGATCCAGCAGGGAGCCAGCCAGCCAGCGCCCCCCCCCAACCCCACACATACTGCCTCCTGCACCTCTTTCAACTGGAAATGGCTTTCAAACCCAAATATGAGATAGGGTTCCCGCCGTCACAGCACCTGTTGTTAATGAGTGGACAGACATTAAAAAAGGAGAAAAATCCTATAAAGCAGGTTCTGCTCTGTCAAATGAGTGGCGGAGAGTAAGGCCACAGTCAGAACGGACCAGCAGGGATGACGGCTGGCTGGAACTTTCTTGCGGAAAGCCGTGGCCCCGCAGGAGGGTTGGGGCTTGGCCAAACTAAAGGCAGCATCAGGGCATTCTCAACCAAGCGGGGTGGCACAGGGAAGAAACCAGTTTGCCCGGAGTGGGGGATGAAGGCCTATAGGTAGAGGCAGCTCAGACTGTAGAAAAGACTGAAGTGTGGGACAGGCAGGTGCAGGAAACAGTCACCAGGGCGCGGAATGACTAGGGCCTGGGTCAGCTGGCTGGCTGAGAGGAGGAGGAGAGGTGACCTGGAGTCCCTATAGGCCTGCCTGATGAGATGCAGAAGGAGGGACAGCTGCAAGCCACTTCAGCAGTAGGGCAGTGAGCACTCTCCTGTAGCTGCCTCACTACCAATGTGCAAGTTAATGGGAAATGGCCTCATCCGGTTTGAGAACGCATCTGAAATCTAGCTCTCAAATCTTGCGATGTTCTTTTGCTTAGCAAAGCCCCCATAAAATAGAAAACACAGATTTCCAAACAGAGTACGCATTAATGAAGTCTTCAAAAGAATACAGAAAACTCATGCAAGAGTGTACACACAGCTTAAAGCTCAAGCCATAATTCCTTTTTTGTGTTCCAACAGCAAGTGACCAAACGACCACAGATTCCCACCTGCTTTCATGATCTATTTGATTCTTGGAGTCCTAAGGAAGAATTTCAGAAAGGTCTTCGAACAAATGCAGAATGCACAGACTTCACTTAACAGTTGTTTACTGAACATTTCTAATTTCTGTGCCTGGCCTTGGTCTGAGTGCTGAGGGTCTCAAGACAAGCAAGACCAGGTCCCTGCCCCAGGTGCTTCAGCGCACAGACTGTGGTCATGGGGCAGTCACTTCTGAGGGGCTCCTGACTGGTGACCGCCTAATGAGTACCTGCTGGATGAATGAATGGGGTCCATCAAAGTAAGGATGGCCGCTATTGGCATCTGTGCTCCTCGTCTCAATGGCTAAGAAGATGCACTCAGATCTCCTTTGTCTTTGCTTTACTTGTGCTTCTCTGCATGAGATACCTGTAATCCTAGGGTAGGAAGGCCTGGCCCGGAGGTACATAACACCAGACAGAAAAGAATGCATCTTTTTTCCATTTCATTCAATGGTAAATTATTTTTAATTTAATATTTTTATATAAATGTTATATATCTTAATATATAACATTTTATATAAGTGTTATATATTTTAATATAAAAAAATAATTTATATTAAAATAGGCCCTAATACAGAACATGAAACTGAATCAAATTTTGAAAATAAAAAAATAAAATCCAAGATTTAAAGGAAATGTCATATTTGCCTGAGGCCACTTTGGGCCATATACCCTCATCCTAGGGCTGAAGCTTCATTCTCCAGCTCAGGAGAGCCCTTCAGTGCTGAGCTGGGAAAGGATTTCTCATCTAGATATTTTCTGGCTACCACCATATAGGTTCTCCCTCAGTGCTTTCCTCAGACTCTAATATTTAACTATGAGACCTAAAGTGGAGGAATCCCACTAAAATCCTAAAGCATAGGAAACCAGCTCAACTGCAGAAATGCAAGTATTCTGGATGGCATGTATTATTAGCTTTTCTGTGCTGAGGTAGGTAAATCCCCAAATCTGAGCTCCTCAGTGTTGCCAGTATTTTAATTAAATAATCATCCTGGGCTGTTAAGTCAAATCTCAAATTACCAAGGAGTACCTAGTGGTTAAAATTAACTAGCAATTCTAGCCAAACTGTTCTCTCAGCTTCCATTTGATTTTGTACCTAGCACAGTAGGAAAAGCTTTGCTGCAGGATGAAAGGTTGCTCACCGACAGGATCCCCCATCTGTAGAGAATCTGAGTCTTGAAGGGAAGATGTTCAGACTCTCCCAATTACAAGTATATGAGCAGAGAGAACACCTGAATCCAGTGCCTTCGTACCTAACTTAGACTTTCCGACGAGATGCTGTGCTTGTTTGAGTGCTGCGAGACTCCAGTGAAGCTGGCTGTACACGGCTCTCCAGCTAGTAGTGTTTGCAGAACCCTGCCTCTGTGCGTACTGAAGATCGAAACCATGTCTCAGTGTTTTGGCTTCTGCATTTCTTGAGAAAATCATCTTCAGCTATGGCATTCTGTCTATAGATGAATTCAGCGCGCGCGCGCGTGTGTGTGTGTGTGTAGGGAGGTGGCTTTGGGGGAGGCTGTGGGTTCACCGAGCGTCTGTCAGTAGCATCTGTCACTCTGGGTCTGAGCCTTCCCTCTGTGCTTCCCTGGCTCTCCTTGCTGCTGGCATGTCACATACCAATGTCATTAGGCACTGTCTGCCCTGGTCCTCCTGCAATCCAGCCAGGGCAGTTCCCGTCACAGCAAGCGCTTCCTCTGTCAGAGCAGACAAACTGACTGAAGCCACAGCCGGAAGCAGGCTGACCACAAGTGCTAAAGTTCTGGTTAGTTCTTTTCTAGGTAAAGTTGGAAAAGTCCCTGCAAAGGCAAACATTGAAGTTTTAGACACGGGGGTGGTACTGACCTCTTGAAATGTCCTTGACTGGAAAGAAGGAGGGTGTGTGTGTGTGTGTGTGTGTGTGTGTGTGTGTGTGACGGAGAGACAGAGAGGAGGAGGAGAGGAAGTTGGATTGTATGATGCAAATGCTAATCATTCTGAGAAGAGGTTTTTTTTCTTCTTCCCAGGTTCAACTGAAGAAGCTGTTCTAAGAAAGATGACTGAGGTAATCAGTCACCTTCCTCAGAGAAAGTCCACTCAGGTAGAATTTTATTTACTATGTAAACAATGGAACATTTATTGCCGAATCCCTTGTTCCTTTATAGCCAGGCTAGAGAATTTAGATTTCTTGGTGGGGGACATGAGGGTAAAAGAAATGGTCATGGGAGAGAAGATGGATCCTGGATAAAGAGACCAGTGGCTTCTCTATCCTTCACAGCCCCCTGAGGAGAATCAAAAAGGTAAAGACTGTCCCTTTAACTCAGGTGGTGAGTGTGTTTCTCTTTATTTTACCAAGCAGGATGACAGACCGGGTTTTCCCAGAAAGCCTGGGGATGCGCAGGGGATAGGAGTGACTAGAGAAGGGAGGATGGCAGGGGAGATCTGAAGATCATCCTTAACTTTCCAAAAGCAAGAATATAGGACACTTAGTAAACTTTAAATTACTTGCCCCTTTTATGGAAGGGGACAAGGTTATTTTTACTGAAGAGAACTAAAATAATTCACTTAAGAGCTCACTTTTGTAAGATCACAGCAAAAAACAAAACCCAGAATCTGTTTGTTGCTTTAGGTGACAAATGGTGATAATGATCTCTATGCTCAGTTAGTTTAGAATTGCTCTTTATAGCAAATATTATATGCTAAAAACAAGTACACTAAAAAATGGATCCCAACTATGGACACGGTAAAGAGATCAGGGGTTGGGGAGAGGGAGGGATGAGGTGGAGCACAGAGGATTTTTAGAATGGTTAAACTACTATTTGCTGCTGTAATGGTGGATACATGTCATTATACATTTGTTAAAATCTACAGAAGGTGTAACACCACGAGTGAACCCCAAAGGAAACTCTGATCTATAGTTAATAGTAATCTGTCTATTGGTTCATCAACTGAAACAAATATACCAGAGTAAAAAATGTTAATAACAGGGGAAATTGTATATGTGTATGTGGGGGGCAGGGGTTCAGGCAAGGAGGTAATGATTAGTATACGGGAACTCTGTGCTTTCTGCTGTTTTCTGTAAACCTAAAACTACTTTAAAAAATAAACTTCATTAAAAACAATGGCTCCCAAACCTGGAATTTGTTGACCAGTCCCAAATCCAAGGATCTACTTCCCTCAGTTCCAAAGTACAGTGAACTCAAACCACATACGGCATCCCTACACTTTACAGGTGCCTTTCTACAACAGCCTGGTGACATTAGTTCATAGGCAGGAAGAGGGATGGCCTGAATCAGGAGCTAAGGGCTTCGGGTCATAACGCCCCAGTGCTACAGGACCGCATGCCAGGGAAGACGTCAGTTCATCAACCGGGGTCTCTGTTTCTGATTTTTGAGAAAGAGATCATGGGCTGCCACCACGGAGCTATCATAAGGGTCAAATGGTTGTGACAAAGTATCCTAGAAGCTGGAAAGCATTATGCAAAAGAATTATAAATCAATGTCATCAGCCTAAGGTCACAAAGCTAGTCTAGTGTCTGCCCCAGGATTCAGACACTGATTGCAAGTGTAGTGCTTGACTTCCATGCCGGTTAGTTCCTTCCTTTCTATGGGATTCCATGTTAGAGAGATTTCTCTTTGACCAGTGTAGCCGCGTGAAGGTCACCCACAGTGCCCCCAACTTTAGGGGTCGGGGGGGGGGCTCTGCTCTTGAGCTCCGAATGACATTCCCCAACAGGCCACATTATATAATCGTCAGCTAGGCTGGAATGACCACTTACCCTTCCCAGACTCAGTTAATAGTTGTTCTTGGATGATACAGTGTAACAAAGACGGGCCCTTGCCAGTAGAGAGAACCGCACCCATTTCTGATGAAATCCCTAAGAAAAGCCAGCTGCAGAATCATTATTTTCAGTCATTCTAGGCCCTCAGGTGAAGTGATTTATGGGCTCCCTTGAGACTAAGAAAGCAGTGCCTGCCACGCAGAGCAGCATGGCTGGGTCCTGGGCACCCGGGGCTGCCAGGCAGAGGAGGCCAGAGGTCTCAGAAGAGGAAAGGTGGTGCTGGCAGCCACTCTCGGAGCGAGGCAGGGTTGGCCCAGTGGAGACTCCCAATAAAGAACAATTAGGGTAACTTGCCCTTCTCTCGAGCTGGTTCATGACATGTTGCTTACACAACTTGCCCTGCATTTTCAGTTAGCTAAGAAATCTACCAGAATGTTCCCAGAGGTTAGGTATGGGATGTTAGCAATTTCTGTTGGTTTTCCTCTATTCTTTTCTGGATTTCATGACTTTTCAACTTTGATCTCTTAGTACCTTTAAGACAGTAATGGTTCTTATTTTTCGGTAAGCCTGCTAAAACAGCTTTCCAAATTTCTTTGCTGTTTTTGCAGTTAAAGATACTTGGCATTTACCTTTGAACCTACAAACACACACACACCTGTAAGCCTCACTCCTAAGCTGCTTCACATATGACAGTGTTCCACCGAACAGTGTTTCTCAGTCTGTGGGTTTCTATGCTGGCAAACTCTTGACTCAGCGGCTTTACTGAAGGTCATCCCTGCCTAGATAGACTCAAAGAAGAGAGGAGAAAGTCCTCTCTCTTACTGCTCACAGACTCCAGCCAGAGCTGGGGGCCAAGTCACCAGCACCGCCACCACCGTGGGAGTAGCTTGCAAGAAAGGTGCCCCGCAGCTTGAGTTCTTCAGGGTGAGAGAGGTCATCAGCTGTTCCTCAGCCCTTTCCAAATTCCCTGTTTTGTGCACCTGCCCCATGCACTCTGACCCTGAAGACCGACTTGAGTTTTCCCATTGGTCTCCCTCCTGACATCTACATCCGAGCTCTTGACAAAGACCCCCTTTAGTAGTTCACAAACTCCCACCAGCACTTTGCGAGTTGCTTCACTGACAGGTAACGCTAAAGATGGTGTAAGAGACCCTGTGGTTCAACTTTCCTTTATAGATGGTCACACCAAGGCCCTGAAAAGAAGTGGGTTTGTGAAAGGAGAAGCTGAGAGCCTTGTCCACCTGTGTAACCCGCACAAACGCAGGACTGCACCTGAATACCAGTAGCTTTTCATTCCCACATTGCTTAGCAACACGCTCACAGGCCTCGTTACCAAGAGGCATCTTGGGACTCCTGAGCATAGGTACGGTTGGTCCTTGAACATCATGGGGGTTCAGAGGCACTGACTCCAGCACAGTGAAAACCTGCAGAGAGCCTGTGACTCCCCAAAAACTTAATAGCCTACAGCTGATGGGAGTCAAGAGTCAACATATCTTCTATGTTCTATGCATTGCATATCGTGTTCTTATAATCAGGTAAGCTGCATCAGTTATGGTCAGTGTTTAGATTCCGGAGTAACGAAGGAGTTTCAAGTGCAGTTAGGGTGTCTGGGACCACAGGCAACAACAAGGCAGGCAGCCCAGTGGGCTCAACACTGGGGCAAGGAGCCGAAGGCGGGTCCAGCATGTGACAGGGAGAAAAACACATTTTTGGAGTTACCATGTCTACTGAGTTGGGGGAACTGTGTAAGCAAATATTTATGTACAGATACAGTGCGTACAGACATCCATGGATTAGCTCACAGTGGGGAGACTAGCACTGGTGGTGAACGCAGACTCCGGCTGACTGATCCAACAGTTGCCTTGTACAACACTCCAGACCCGCACGGGCTCACATACCGTCCTCTTGGGTAGACCTCAGTCCCTGTGCTCGAAGTTAGCACAGAAATTCCTCCCAGGCAGATTATGGCTCGGCTCCACTCCCTGTTACCAACAGTGCCCCACACACCCTCTGTGAAGGTCAGAATGTGGAAAATTCAGAGGACGGTGCAGACCCGGGGTCCCAATGCCAAGTGCTTCATGATAAGAAGAAGGCACCTGTGAAGTGCGCAGCAGGATGAGGGGGAACTTCAGAGCCTCTAGACTAGAGGGCAGAGCCTGTGATAAGCCTGGGCGGGGAAACACAAGCTCACCCTGTGCAGCCGCCACCGACACGAACCCAAGCTCAAGTGCAGAGGGTGGGGCGAAGCACGTCTGGCTGGCTGGGAGGCCAGTCCAGGGCTGCTGACACTCTGTTTCCAGCCACCAAAAAGCCAGCGCCAAATCCCTCTCTCCACGTCTCCCCTGCTCTGATAGTCTCGAACTCTGCCACGGTGCCAGCTAACTTCAGAAAGTATGCTGAGAATCATACCGGAGCGGAGGGCATCCCAGGCCAGATCCTCACGCACAGCTAAGTGCTTCTGGAGCCCAGGGGACATTTTAATCAAGGCGTGTGGCCCCCACGTCAGACAAGAGAAGCTGATGATACAGCACTACAGTGCCGAAATCTATGTCCCAGGAACTTCTCAAGGCCCTCCCTTCCTCCCAGCATCCTCACTGGAATTCCAGAATAAAAGTCCAAACCTGTTAACTGCCCATCTGCATGGAAGCAAGGGCTTCCCTGTCACTTAATCACAGCCAGGAGCTGCCTGCCTGCCAGCCTGCCTGGCACATCATGAAGCACAGATGAGGATGGGCAGGGGAGGCGGGTGCACAGCTTGCTGGCCTCTCCTGCACTCTTAAGTCCTGCCTTCTAGGGACCCCCAAATTCTCACTGCCTGGGGCTGAGACCCTTCAGGTTGGCCATGTTCAGGCAGACGTTCCCTTCTGGGCTCCTACGGTCACTGCCGGCACCCCTCCCCTGCAGACTTCCAGGGCCTTGCTTCTATCGGATTAGGAAACACCAGTCATTCCCGCTCCCGGTTTGTGTCCTGAGTGATTCCCTTTGGTCTCTTTACTCAGTTCCTCAGGGCAAAAAGCTCCGCCCTCATTTTGGAAAGTGCCTGTCTGCAGACTTCCTAGCAGACTCTCTCTCGGGTCAAGAAAGGTGCAAGACTTGGGTCAGTTCCCCTTTTAAAAGAAGGCAGTGACTTATAGGTAATTTAGTTCCCATTTTGATCTTTTGCCCTTGTTAACACATTGCTCTCTGACTGTGCTTGCTTCCCAGGTCTTCTTATCAAATACACACTAACACAAGTGCTGAGGCCACATACCCTACAGCTTTCGAATCTTCCTTATGGATGTTCAGTAGTGCTCTATTTGCTAAGAAGATTTATTTGCTTGGAAAATTTACCCAAAAGGAATTTTCCAACCAAAAAGAGCTCTCTCTTTCATGGCTTTATTGATGCAAATGGACTAGGGCTTGCAGAAAAGCGTTCTCCAGGAATGCAGGCTCCTGGACTGGGCCCTCCTCTCTGAAAAAAAGGCACTAATTTCTAAGAGCGTTTTCACTGGCTGCCATGATACTACCTTTGATTTGGAAAATTGTTTCTTTTGCTTTCATAACCCTATACAACTAGTTTCTGAAGAGATCAAGTGAATTAATACAAGATGGAACAAACTGGAAAATCTCTAGTGGAACGGTGTGTGAGCACGAGACAGAGAGAGAGAGGGAGAGAGGGGGGAGGGAGAGAAGTCAAAAGCGGTCTATTTTCACTATGAGAAAAAGTCAGCACCAGGCTTAAAGGATGATGGATCAGACACTCTAATTATCAGGGAGTTCTAACTCTTGAGATGAGTCACCCGGGTGTGGAAGCCCGTCTGTCTATGGTTCTGGTGAATCCTCCTTCCCCTTTAACTTCGACAACTCTCCCCTCAAATAATGGCCACCGAAGGGAGTATCACTCCCTGTTCTAGGCTCCGGGGAGGGTAATGACGTTTCTCAGATCGTACCAAGTCAGAATTAACACCTACTTCAGATACACCCTATGCAAGAGTGGGCTCTGCCTTTCCCGAACTCTCGGCATTTTCTACAACCCCCAGTAGTACCCGACTCCAGGTGGCTGTGCTGGCGGCAGCTCAGAGGTTTAACATGCGTCGAACGCCCAGAGCTACCAACTCGTTGATTTGTGCGTTAGCCAGTCAGCATCACCCAGGAGGCCCTCTCCCCCATCCTTCTCCCTACCCCCAGTGGCGCCTTTGCTGGGCCTTGCGTCTTTGGAAGGTGGCTGGTTCT